TCATATTATCTCTAATTTGTCTCTTTGGCAGAAATCCATTTTGATCTGGGTGGATGAAATTATTTAAGTATTTTTTAAGTCTTTCTGCTAAAATTGAAGCAAAAATTTTATAGTCTGCATTTAATAGAGAAATAGGTCTATAGTTCTTAATTTGCAGTGGACCAGCCTCTTCTTTTGGAATAAGTGTAATATAAACCTCTGACCATGTTTTAGGTATCATCTTCTTTGACATAGCTTCATTCATAACTTCAAGCAATGGAATGCTCAATGATTCTTGAAATGTTTTATAAAATTCTGCCGGAAGCACATCTGGACCCGGTGCTTTCCCATTATTTTGTTTCTTAAGTGCTTCAGTTAATTCCATCATTGTTATGTTGCTTTCTAGCATTTCTTCAATCTCTATAGGCATCTTCGGTAGGTTAGCATTCTGTAAATACTGTTTAACTTTTTCTTCATCAATATTCTCTTGTTTATATCGCCGCCTCGTCGGGTCCGTCCGTCTCGGTTCCACCGGCTCTCGGTTGGGCGGTCTGTTCTGAGGGGGGGGTGCTGTCTTGCCTTTGGCTGCTGCCGTTTGGTCGTCGGGGGCTATAGTTCCGTTTGAACCGGCAGACTCGAGCGATGTGTCCCCTTTTATCGCAATGGCGGCAGATTGCATCAAAGAAACGGCAATCTGCTCGCGGATGGTCACCTCCGCACCCGGCGCATTGCTGCCCCGACTTACGACTCCGCCGCTCACGCCGGTCCCGGTCTGTCTGGAGTCTGTGGATGTCTTCCTCTCCATCGGTGGTGTCGGAGAGGGAGTCGAGGTCGCCATGATGGGTGGTGGTGGTTGTCCGGCGGGGCCTCTCGGAGACGGTCTCTGGTGTCTGGGTTGCTTCCGTGATTACGGGCCGATCTGTCCCGTCGGTTCGCCGCATTCTGGCTGCGGATTTCCAGGTTGCCTCGGCGGCGGTGGCCTCGGCAAGGGCGTCTGCGAGGGAGATGTCACCCTGTGCCATTAATCGGCTCTGCAGGACGGGGTCTTTGAGCCCGAGGACGACGCGGTCTCGTAACGCCTCGTCCATGTCTGTGAACCCGCACATGCCCCCCAGGTCTCGTAGGTCAGCTACGAAATCGCTGATACTCTCACCCTCCTTCTGATTCCTGCGATAGAAATCATGCCGCCTGATGAGGGTGGGCACGGCGGGGGCATAGTGGTTCCGCAGCAGAGGTTCGAGGTCGGCCCAATCCATCGCCTTCACGTCCTCGGGCTTCGCAAGGGCTTTTGCCATTTTGAACACTGCGGGCCTGCAGTGTGTCAGGAAAACGGCCCTTTTCTTTTGTCCATTGGCGTCCTTGAGGTTGCTACTTTCTAGGAACATCAGGAATCAATCTATGTATGATTCCCAGTCCTCGGTAGCTTGGTTGAAAGGGGTGGGTGGCGCGATGTTGGCCATCTTTGCTGGATGCCTCGATCTTGGTGCCACGTGGTGGTGGGGGATCAGTTCCGAAATCCCACCTTCGTCGCCAGTGTTATATCCCCGATCGGAAAGGAAGACGCTAGGTTCGGTGACTTCAGCTCTTTATTTTATTCAAGATCGGCTTGGCTTGGCTTGGGCGCGCAGCGGCTTATATGGATCTAGCCGGCCGAGCCGCGGCCAATGACACCGCTTTAAATCTCCCGCGATCGGTTTCCTCCAATTGCGGGAGATTCTCAGCGGGCCAATTGGCGAGGCTCGCCCGGCCAATCGGGTCGCCACGCGCCTTGGCCAATCAGGAACGGGTATTTACAAGAATGCAAATGTACAGTACAGAACAGAAGAGATTGTTCCAAACTTACCACCTCTTAAATTGCTGGCATCAGAAAGTCCTCAACCTGTATGTTCAGAGGGGGGCGGAAACGCATTGATTTCATGCACGCATATTATGTGTGGGTAACTGGAAGAAGCTGAAGCTGTATTTTTTTTAAATATTTTTAAAGTTAATTTTTAAAGTTAGCTAGTATAATAGATTGCTAGGAATGCCCACTGACTGGATCATGGCTGCCACAGAACTACTAGCTGACCAGGGTCAAGCAATTCAAATTGGTCATCATATTCAAGACCAAACATTTTTTTTAAATATGCGGCTATTTTTATACGCCTGGAGTCTCTGGCAACCATGAACCATACTGTTACTTGAATTATCTGCTCCTGCTTTAGGGTTTAAATTAAAAGCTCAGAATTAAAAACCCCGAGCAGCTAATTCCATGTTACCTTCAGCTTCTAGAAGAGAATCCAATTATACATATTTATTTTTAAAAGCTGCTGCTGCTTTTTATTTTAATTTTTTTACTTTATATAATTTGATCCTCTTCCCCAGACCATTTGTAAAACTACTGTAGGTACTTCAGACAGTCTTGATTTAGTGTCTCAAGATGATTAGGAGTATACATTTGCCGTAGTGCCTAAATAATGTACAACTAGATGAATTAATTTCAGGCCACATATGGTAGGAGTCACCCATGTGTGAGTTGAGTAGCAATATAAATGCACTTAATAAATAAACATTAAACAAGTGGCTTAATATTTGATGCCTTAATGACAAGACATGACTGGCAAATCTTCCAGTAGACAAAAATAGCAAAGTACAGCAGTCCTCCAAAGGTTTTGTTTGTGGGATTTTGCACTCACAAACACTGTTTTTCAAAGTATAATTGCCTATCCCTCCAGTCACAAAACTATGCAGCTTAACGAGAGTAGTGTAAATTGCACAATTATTCTTGGAAATAATATCTCCGTAGGGTGTGGCAGGTATGCTTCCAAGAGGTAATGTCTGTGGTATTAATTTCATTAAGGTTCCCCCCCCCCCCCAATTCTTTGTTGAACTTGAATGATGTCCTCTGATAAATATGATGCCCTGCCTTGGATTCAGTTGACGCAAAGAGTAAAAACACTTTAATGCTTGCTAATTTTGTCTTTCTGGATTCGTTTCGCATGGATTATTTGCCAAGCCCAGTTTTGAATGGAGGAAGCTGATGGTGAATTCCCTGCCTTTCACAACTGCCCTCCTGTCACATCCTCTCTACAGAAAAAACAATAAACAAAATGTGACAGATTAGTATCAACCCAGAGCAGAATGCCTTTCTGTAGAGTGTGGCTTTTTGAATTGGTTTTCGTTTTTTAAAAAGCTTTTAATAGAGTAGAGTAGAGTAGAGTAGAGTAGAGTAGAGTAGAACAGAACAGAACAGAACAGAATAGAATAACAGAGTTGGAAGGGACCTTTGAGATCTTCTAGTCCAACTCCTTGCCTAGGCAAGAAACCCTATACCACTTCAGACAAATGGTTATCCAATCTCTTCTTTAAAAACTTCTAGTGTTGGAGCATCCACAACTTCAGATGCTTTGGAGAATAGCTTGACTCCCTCTTCTTTGTGGCAGCCCTTCAAATATCGGGACACTGCTATCATGTCACCCCTAGTCCTTCTTTTCATTTGGCTAATTCCCAGTTGAGTTTTCCCCCTGGCATTCTCTCAGCTGAATTCCTACATTCAGATCACAGCAAGCGCACACCCCACTCAGGTCAGCTAGCAAAAATTATTGGTGGATAATTGGTTTTTTTTTAAACATCAGCAAAGATCGACAAGGATATTGATAAAATGAAACAAAGGGCAAAAGCAGAGAAGGAGGCATGAAGTACGGAGAGATTAACAGGTCAAAGTACTTAATGTGCTATCAGAGAATAGGTAACTCTATAAATAAAAAACAGAGAGAGTTTTTAAGGAGAGTGGCCTTTTGTTATTCTAGCTTTAATCCTTTGTGTAGCAGTAGCAGAACAGAGGTGGAAAGCCTTGGACATTTAACAGAATAACAGAGTTGGAAGGGACCCGGGAGGTCTTCTAGTCCAACCCCCTGCTTAGGCAGGAAACCCTATACCATGTCAGACAAATGGTTATCAAATATCTTCTTAAAACCTTCCAGTGTTGGAGCATTTACAGCTTCTGGAGGCAAGTTGTTCCACTGATTAATTGTTCTGTCATGGAATTTCTCCTTAGTTTTAGGTTGTTTCTCTCCTTGGTTAGTTTCCATCCATTACTTCTTGTCCTGCCTTCAGATATTTTATTATTAATGTGGTATATAGACAACAGGCTAACAATTTCTAAATAGATTTAGTAGTTGAGTAGTTTAAAATTCTTTTGGCCTGTTTTGTAAGGGGTGGGAAATTAATATTGACATATTATATTAATCAGCATTCAACTAGGGAGGATGTTATGTGTACGTGTGTCAGAATTTCTTTTGTACCATTACAACTGACATCTTGACTTCTTTGACCAAACCCTACAGAGATCTATTGTTGGTTCTACAAGAACAATAAAGCTTTCTTAACCCCATCTGTGGGCATTCAAAAGTTTAGTATCATTAAGTAACTTATCTAGAGACTCAATTTAGCAACACTGACCCATATTTTTAAGTCAACTGCTGAGAACACGTGGATTATATTTCTGCAGAAAGCGGGTGTTTCAGTCTAGTTTTCTGTACTTCTATTCTTATTTGGGGGCATTTAAAAGTAGATTAATCGTACCCAGTGGTGGGATTCAAATAATTGAACAACCGTTTCTCTGCCCTAATGTTTTCTTCCAACAACCAGCTCACCAAACTGCTCAGAAAGTTAACAACCAGTTCTCCCAAACTGGTGGGAACTGGCTGAATCCCACCACTGAATCGTACCAATGTATTTAATGTTTAACTTATCAGAGTAAATTAATTTAAAGTTAGATTTTTTTCTCCCAATAGCAGAACTGGAGGATCAACGTCTCTAAATATAGGAACACATTACTGCTGGTGTACAATACCATAGTGTGTGCGTGTGACACTAACCCATTCTATTTTTGTCATTATGCAAGGGAGAGTTGCCTCAACATCTAATTTACTATTTTGTCATACAGGACTAATGACTGTTTTTGCGCATTATCAGGTTAAGATCAATTAAAATAACCCTCAATTATCTTCACCCAAATATAAGCAGCATCCCATGATTTAACATCACATCAAGGGACCTTAGCCTTTTCATGTGCAGGTGACATATTGGTTAGCTTGTCTTTAGAGAAAGAAACTTCTCCTTGAGGGGTAATACAGCAGAAAGGTATGTGGAAAGGGTTTTTTTTCCCAGTTGATCACTCCAAAAGTTCTAAATGTATCTGGGTAAATACTAAACAAGTAATCTTTAACTTAGAACAGTAAATTAAAAGGCTGGGCAGGTTGGGGGAACTATGGAAGAATCCTCCAGAAAATTAGCTCTAGACAACAAGCTTCAAGACTTTTTAAATGGATTTGTTGATAATTATTAACATGCAATCTTGAATCAAACTAGTTCGAGATACTTTTACAATAATCTCAGCTTTCATTAGCAGGAAACCATATTTCATGAGGTCTATTTCCAGACTGGTGCTTATGGGCTTTCAGTCTTGAGCTTCATAAATTGAATGAACTGACTTAAGAATTATGGCTAATTTTTCAACATTAGCAAAGACAATTTTTTGTTGAGTTGTATCTTTAATCCTCTGTATTCCAAATGTGTATCAGAAATATAGAAATACAGAAAGGGAGTGAAATTACTTTAATTTAGTGCTTTTGAATGATTGCCTATATACATGAGAGGCTATATACTCAGTTGATGCAAATATCCAAATTCTGAATGTTTGCACTCTGTGCTACAGAAACAAGAAAGATTGTTTATTTAAATACAGTCATATTAAAAAGAACTTTCCTATATATTTTTTAAAATGTGGTAGAAGCCTGCAGAAAGGATATCTTATGGGGGAGTAGTACATGTATGATTTAATGGCTCTGAATTCAAATCTTTGGTACGCTTAGACAACGATAGGTCCTAGATTTAACAGGGACTTGTTTAAAAGCTGGTAAACTTGCTTCAGTGCCCTGATTATCTGTCCTCCAAGCTCTGCTTCATGTTCTGAAGCTGAGCCTTTAATCTTGCTGGTGAGAACAAAAGGACAGAGAATGGGCACAAACTGGGGCTTATCTACTTGGGTTTGAACTTCTAATAATAACTAGCTCTGGAGGTTACCATGAGGACGAAACAAACATCAGCATTGCTTTACCTGTGAATTGCGTTGAGGTTCCTGGCACCTAAAAAGTTGAGCAACCTTGCATGCTGGCTTTCTTGGGCTTCTTTCATAAAATTGTTTAGCCTCGAGTTGGGCAGGGTTTTGCTGCCTACACCCAGTACACAGGGAGAGGAGTTCCAAGCAGCAACCCCAGCAGTTAGATTAATGATTGCAAAACAGACAGGGTTGCACTATGTAGGTCATGAGGGGGGTCAAACTCAAGGCCCGGGGGCAGTATCCAGCCCACGAGGTACTTAGATGTGGCCCATGGGGCTGCCCTGGAAACAATGAAGAACTGGCCCGTGGTGCCTCTGCCAGCGAAAATGGAGCTCACACAGGCCTCCCGAGCTCCATTTTCATTGGCAGAGGGTTGCAGGAGGTCGTTGTGGCTGAAAACAGAGCTCGGGAGCCCGTTTTCTCTGCCAAGTACTCAGACCACCACAGGCGCCCCCCTGATACGAGTGATGTCAAGCTGGCCACACCCACCCTAGCCACGCCCACCCCGGCCCCCCAAGGTTAAACACAACCCTGATGCGGCCCTCAATGAAATCAAGTTTGACACCCCTGAGGTAGGTAAAGAGCTATGTGATATTTAAAAAAATTTTTTTTATTCTGAGGTGAGAAGTAAGATGTGCGAGAATTCATGCAGGAGTGTATTTCTATTGTATTAAGTTTATTTTAGAATTTACAGTACAGTTGTCATGTTTTCCACCTCAAAATCCCACACCCAGTTCCAGAAATTGTAAACAAAGGTAATTTCATAACTGCAGGTGACTGACATTGTCTATGGAGATTCTCAGTCATCCAGGTCATGGTTTTCCCAGAGAGTGCTAATGACCAGATGATTACAAGGAATGTAAATCCTTCCATCTGCCAACGTTCAGTCAGAACTGGAGAGGCTTCCTGGATGAGAAACGAAATGTCTTCAAGGAAAAACAAAGTCCCATTGCCTTTTGAAAAAGCACCTTTGGGACTGACATTAAGTGCTTTAATTCCCACTGATTTCAACATGCTATAAAGTGTCTTCTTAACCCTCTGTTGTGGGAATAAAACGTGTTCATTGTTGTCTGACTGGCTATTTCTGTGTGACCCTACTGATGAGAGTGTAGGATGGTGAACATTTACCATCATCCCTTGAAAAGAAAAGAAAAAAAGTCATTAGCAAGGAACCAGACCAACAAAAGCTAGGTCTGCATTAAATCTGCATAAGCTGTTTTAAATGCATGGGTGTGGATTTAGAAATGCAGAACATAATTTTAATATAAATGTGATGTGAATCTCATCATCAAATGGAAGACCGCCAGGAAGCTTCTACAGGTGCTAATTTTGTAGGACATTCCTTCAAACAGAAAGAACAAGTAGAAGGGAGTACCTGTGGCTCGGGGTTGAACTGTGGAGTCCATGGTGATCTTTTGGATGTTTGCTTACAGGTGTTCAATCAGCCAACTAATGTAGGTAACATTATCAATGATCAGTGTCAATCTAAAAGATCAGATCAGCACTGATTTAAAAGAATTAGAAACAAAAGGAATTTTTTAACAAGAAGAATACTTTACGAGTAATCCCAGCATTTTATTTCAAATTGATCTGAGTCTTTAGTCTATTTGTAACGTTCCAAAAACAAAGTTTTATCATCCTTTTGCTGTTTAATTAAAAAAAAAAATACAGTTCTTAAACTTGCAGTTAAAATTTCTTTTGCTAAGGATGGAGAGAAACTTGCAGTCAACATCCAGTGTGGCCACTTCTTCTGCTAGCTTGGTTTGGAACTGTGACACTCGCTGCTCTAAAAGTTGTTGATCCAAATTTAGTTTAGTTTACTTTATTGTCATTGCACCTCATACAATGAAATTAAATACCATCTTCAGTATACATTATGACTATGAAAATAAACACAAACACACGTCCTTCACACTTCATACATTGAATTGAAAACCCCTTGATATTGCATTAATATATGAAATATCAAATTAATATTGAATTCCACTATACAGTAGAATTCAATATATTTTTATTTTATTTATTTATTTTGTCAAGCAATTATAAGATAACAGGTATAAGTATAAAGGTAGTTATAAATACATGAAATGGATACATATAAGAAAAATCCTGTTGAAATCTATTTTTGGGTGTGCTTACTTTACTAAAGTAGAAAGTTAGTACCCACCTCTCTCCTAGAAGAAATAAACATTTATTTTTATTTTTTTTATTTTTTTGTCAAGCGATTATAAGATAACAGGTATAAGTATAAACATAGTTATGAATACATGAAATGGATACATATAAGAAAAATAAAAAGAAACAATAGGACAGGAACAGTAGGCATGTTGGTGCACTTATGCACACCCCCTACAGACCTCTTAGGAAAGGGGTGAGGTCAATTGTAGACAGTCTAAGGTTAAAGTTTTTGGGGTTTGGGGAAGAAACCAGAGTCAGGTAGAGTATTCCAGACATTGACCACTCTGTTGCTGAAGTCGTATTTCCTACAATCAAGTTTGGTGCGGATAACCTTGAGTTTGTATCTATTGTTTGCTCTTGCATTGTTATGGTTGAAGCTGAAGTATTCATTAACAGGTAGGACATTGCAATGTATAATTTTATATATTATACTTAGATCGGACCGAAGGCGGCATAGTTCTAGGTTTTCTAGGTCTAGAATTTTGAGTCTGGTGGCATAAGGTATTCCACAATGAGTAGAGGAATGGAGAACTCTTCTTGTGAAATATTTCTGGACTTTCTCAACTGTATTAATATCAGATACGTAATGTGGGTTCCAGACTGATGAGCTGTATTCAAGTATTGGTCCAACAAATATTTTGTATGCTCTAGTTAGTAGTGTGATATTACCAGAGAAAAAGCTACATAGGATTAGGTTAACAACTCTTAATGCCTTTTTGGCTATGTAGTTACAGTGGACTCTAGCACTTAGATCAGTAGAGATGAGTACTCCAAGGTCCTTGACGGAGTTTGGATCATCAACAAGGTCTTGACTATTCAGCCTGTATTTTATTTTCTGATTTTTTTTGCCAATATGTAGGACAGAGGATTTATTTGTTGAGATTTGAAGTTGCCATTTGTTTGACCATTCTGATACATAATCAAGATCTTTTTGAAGGGTAGCAATATTGTCTGTGGTATTGAACAGCTTTACATCATCAGCGAAGAGAACACAGTTGCTCTTGATATGATCACAGAGGTCATTTATGTAGAGTATGAAGAGAGTTGGTCCTAAAACACTGCCTTGGGGCACCACTGTTGATAGGTACATAATTTTTTCCTTTTTCTTTTTTTGTATAGTTCAAAACTTCCAAATATGTCTTTTGGTAGACTTGTCCTTTAGTGGTATCTCCGTGGCCACTAATGTTGCCTAGTACAGAATGGGGATTGTAAATTGGCATGGAAGTTTAAAGCAGGTTCTTGTTGGTGCACAGCACAAATTAGTTATACATGCAGATGTAGTTTATTATTCATCTTGAGTTGTCTGCCTCATAAAATAATAGTTGTTCTGTTAACTAAATACCACTCTGTAATTGCAAAAGAAAAAAAGAAAAAAAGTAGTAGCTGTTGACATTCTGATTGCTTCTAAGTAAATACATTTTTAAAAAATTTAGTATTGTTGTCCTTTTAATAGGTGCCCTTGTAAAGTCAAAAGGTGCCCTTTTTTCCCTCTGGAAACCTTAACTTGTTATGTTTTTGCCCTTTTGGGATCACGTCAGAATTTTGTCTCTTCATGTAATAAGTTGATAGAATTTCTAACAAAAGCATTGAGCAGCATGCCCTATATAATCATGATAATGCCCTATATAATCATGATAATTTGATAGGACACTCCCAATTTTGACCATTTATTGTCTGTTTGACAAGAATGTTTCTATCCAGTTATCCAGAGATACCATAAGATTTTAGTTTTAGTAGTAGTTTGTCGTGTACCACTGAATCAAAGGCTTTACAGAAGTCTATGTAGATTGTGTTCTATGTTCTATGTTCCTGATCTGGGATAAAAGCTGTTTTTCAGCCTATT